GGAATCATTAGTTCCGGCATTTTTCCTTTTGATTTTACATGTAAAAACTCCAGAACTATTAGTTTCGGTGTTTTTAATTTATTTGACCCAAATATATGTCGGGTCAACGGGTCGGGTCGGGTACCGACTAGCACTGACCCGACCCGTGTCAGGTCATGAAATTGATGACCTGACCTGAATATTTCGGGTCAACCCGTCGGGTCACCCGATCTGTCAGGTCAGGTTGCGGAGCTCTAGTTGTGGTATTGCGATTCACTTTTTTATATTGATTTTATATAATAAAAGTAAATTGCGATATCGCAACTCTCTTTTTTATATTAATTCTATATAAAAAAAGTGAATTGCAGTATTGGGATTCACTTTTTTATATGATTTTAATATAAAAATATTGAATCACAATATTTCGAGAAAAAACGTTGCGAAAACATTTTTTTTATAATATTATATTAAAAAAATGTTTCGTAACATTTTTTTTTTTGATATTTCAATAATAACATTGCAAAAACATTTTTTTCATAATGTTATATTAATAAAAACATTTTGCAATATTTTTTTCAATATTTTAATAAAAAACGTTGCAAAAACGTTTTTTTTTCCATAATATTATATTAAAAAAAAAAAGTTTTGTACCGTTTTTTTCCAATACTTTAATAAAAATAGTCCTGAAATTTTTCAGGTTTCAGGTCAGGTTAGGTCAAACAGACAACCTGATATAACCTGACCTGACCTGACCTGAAAAAAAATTTCAGGTCAGGTTTATCAATTAACCTGACTTGACCTGACCCATTTGGAACTCTAGTCTGGATAACTCTTTGGATAATAATCTATCTGGGAATTTTAATCTTTTTTTCGAATGAATAGGTCTATATAAGAAAAAAGTGATTTAAATTAGCTCACAATCATATAAAATTAAGATATGTTCAAGACTGATAAAATACTAACCTCCAAATATCTGGATTGGCATGCCAAATTAAGTGGGTTACCAAGCATTTTGACAGATAAGATTCGGTCCAGCTTATACAAAAAATATAAAAAAGAAACTGGGCATAAGCCATGGCAATTATCAGAAGTACATATATCAGAAGTCATAAATTCGAAGTCAGAAAATAAAGTATCCAGTTTATCTTTTTCTGAGCAATATGAAGAAAAAGGGCCTATCATCTTCAAAGCCAAACCTGATCCAGAATTAATTATCAAATCCATTTTAGAGCACTTCTCATACTTGAAATTTTAAAATAGTTTTAGAGGGATTGATAATTATAATTTTGCATCACCTCAGCCATGGAGCTCACCATTTCCTATTTGCGATAGAAAATATGGGAATTATGGATTACATGGAGAATGGTACGGAACAGAATATTGTCTTACTTGCTTCACTTCAAGCAATTCGCGATTGTGGCTTAGACCAGTCATGTGAGATCAATCACCTCAGTTATACCATGGGTGTGGGATTATAGATCCTGAAATGTGCAGAAGACATTTGGTAAAATTCTTGCTGAGCTTTTAGTTGTTTCTTTTTTCCAAACCCACATACATTGTGCTGTATATGTCATTGGAATCTTAGCCGGTAGATCACATATTTCTATTGGCTGGAAGTGAGAAGAGTCTTCACGATTATTATATGACACGGTATAAATAAAAAAAAGCTAGAATAAAGAAATATCATTCGAAAAAATAATCATGTATAATCATAAAATGGCATCATATACTCAAAGTCAGTCCCGCATCATGTAATTTATTTTAGCTTAATGTATTGCAAATAAAAAACATTTAGGCCACTAAGTGATCCGCGAAATGTAGTCAATTATTTTTCTCGTAGCGATTGTAATAATTTTTAGACTGTACATACTAATTTTTTATTGCTTGAGCGTATATACAGGGTAATTTAGGAAATCTGGATCAGCAAATTATTGGGCAATAAGATTGCCAGCGAAGATCCAGGGACTTTTATTCTCAAACTTTTTTGCATATTCTCAAAATTATTACGTATATTATTATTAAAAAAGGGCCTCTTGATGATCCTTACATATGGATAGTATTAAGTTAATATACATGCTGCCCAAATTATTTTGGGATGCCATAATTATAATTTGGGATGTCATAATTCATTCGGTTTATATATAATTTACTATGTAAAGTGCCAAAATAATTTGGGATGCCATAATTGAATTTGGGATTTTACTTATAATTACAGCAGTCCAAAATAATTTGGGTGGCATGTATATAAGTTAAGGAGAGGCGGTTGATCAAATTTTTGTAATGCAATCATATTAACGTAATTTTCTCACATATCGGCAAATTTGTTCACCTCTAATTAACATGTTTATTTTAAGGTACTTTTGTTATACAAATTATTACATATGGCGCAGTAGGACCTGAGACGAACATTAAAAAAATTTTATTTGGTTTTATTAATACAATAATTTGATAAATTTGATAAATAGTTCTTTTAAGCCAAAATATAATAAATATTATTCTTAGCAATACTGATAATATCTGTTATGGAATCTCACTTTATACAATAGCTTCTAAATCTTTTTTGTGTAAAAATCAATAATACATATGCTTACAATTTGTTTGAATATAAAAGTTCCTATTTTGTCTACAGCAAGATAAATAAGAATTAATAATATGTTTTGAAAAATGCAAAAAATGGACAATTTTATGAAAGTTATTATAAAAAAAAAAAATTTTTAAATATTAAATGAGTCTTAGAATACTTTTATAAATATTCATAGCTATTGTGTTTATATAAATTTTTATTTTACTTTTTGTTTTATTAAAACATACTTACTTTCTAATAATACACATTAAAAATACTATGCAGGTTAGAAATAGGTTTTTTGTTAATGAAATGGGTTTTTTTATGTCTATTTTATGTTAAATAATTTAAGTTTTGCAAATGTAAATTTTTACTTGACTTATTATTTAGTCAAGTGATATTCAATCAGGTGATTTCATGACATTACAAACCAGTTTTGGGTGACGGATATTATGAAAATCATTCAAAATTTAGCATTATGCAAAAAGAAACAAATCTGCCGATATGAAAAGTGTATAACAAAATCGATCCTGTGAATTATATAAAATGGTGATGTCCCTGTTAGTGAATCCATTTATCCACCTTGTGCAAATAAAAAAATGAAAAAATAAGTGAAACATTTAAACTTACCATAATTTACATCATTGATATTATCATCCAATCAAACAAACGAGTATATTCTGTAAGGTATATTGGTTTTATTGCTCGGCTAGCTTCTTGAAACATGACATCACGATGTTAATCAATTTCTCCGCCTCTATAGATGTTCTAAAATAAAATGGACATATTGCTCTTTTTGTTATATATCAGCTTTGCCGAGAAAATCACTGACCATTATCACGCCAACGGCACAGCAAAAGTCTGGCGCAGTATATCAAATAATTTTTCTGGCATAAGCATATTCACGTGCCAAATTCTTGAAACTTTGCGCAGTATCGTTCCAGAGATAACTCAAAAAAAATCAAGCAATCAATTCCTTGTATATAAGGCGGAATGGAATTATGCGAAAATGAATTGTGATGGTAAGTGTAAATTGGTAATGTTATCTTGTATTATTTTTTTTTTGCCTTAGACAAAACTTCTGTAAATATAGGTGTGAAAATTTATTTCGGTATTCTAGAGTATGGTGGTGAGAATCTCGTAGTTAGTATTAGTAATAGGAAAAAATCAAATAGTATAGAAATTTACAAAATGCCTGAGAGAGCAAAGAAATAACTTGATGCTTGGGACTTGCATTAAATGGCCTAAGATCTGTGTACTCTCTCCCTCTTTAATAGCATCATATATTTCTATGCAATCCTCTATCATTTTCCCAATTTGCTACTAATCTGAAATTATTAATAAAGTTTTGTACACTTTGAGTATTGAATTTCTTGTATTTTTTTAACTGTGGCTGTTCAAGCAATAAATTCAATTTCACGAGACGAAAGATCTGTAAGATAAAATATTGTAACTTTTCTTTGATTTTTTGTAAAGGTTGGCATTTCAGTCACGGTATACTGGAAAACATCATGCAGAGTAATGCCTTAAGCACGCATGCAAAAGGAAATTCCTGCAGAATGCTTCCAAACATCTGACACAGGAAGTAATTGCCGTATGCCAGTAGGTATACACAACACAAACCTGGACACTAACATGCAGGATAATGCCTTGAACACGCATGCTCAAAGAAATTCTGCAGACCAGCACCAAACATCTAACGTAGGAAATAATGGCCATACGCCAGTAGGGAATGCGCGTGAAAGAGTTTTCGAATAATAACACGTCTTGTTAATCTGGAGCGAAATGAAGGACTATGTATGACTATGCAATGTGATACAATTAGTTCATTTAGTTATACTTGTACTCCGGACTTAACAATCAGCCAATTAAATATCTAATATATATATTATGCGTATTAAATGAGTGCGTGTTTCTTTCTGTAAATGTAAGAATTAAGTTTGAATCACTACTGAATGATTACTTTGATCATAACCCACAGAAGGAATGGTTGATTATTAATGCCCTGCGATACATAGAGTCAAAATCTGAACCATTATTTTCAGATACAATCAATACTTTCAAAGATGATATGTATTTGTTACTACAAAGTTTAGGTGGCAAATGCTATGTACACGAGTTTGCCAAGAAGAAAGTGAAGAAAATTCTGACAAATTATGATAAGTCATTCTTTTCAGCCAATATAAAATGTTTTATTGATGAAATTGAACTAAAGAATGAAAAAAAGGAGTTTCACACATCGATAAGTTGAAGAGTTAAACCTAGGAGAATAAAACATTATAATAGTCTTACTGACAATCCTATTAGAAGCATCGTACAGACAGAATAGCAATTGAAGATTTGCGCAATGCAACAAACATAACATCAACCATTGAATATGACTCTGAAAGGAAATAAGATCTTAGGGGAGAAATAATGGATGGAGTTGAGGTTTGTTGATATCATTATGTCAACATAAATCGTATTTTGTCTCAGTTATATATTTATTTCTTTTATCTCTTCTCTTCTCAAGAATGGTCAAGTTATTTCCGAAGCTGTACAAGAGTCGAGTGATCTCAGTGCGCAAAGTTATGATCAAGAAGATCAAGACCTGTTGCGAAATGCAAATACCCTAGGGAAAAGGGAAAATGCAAGTGATGCTGAAGAAGAACGAGTATTAAAAAGGCAATATAATTGAGTCCGTTACACCACGATGACAACAATCACTACAATAATCACTGCGACGGCCAGATAACCTTATTATTGAGTCACCTAAATTTTTGGAATTCAATCAGCACTCTATCTTTTATGGAGGATTGCCGAATTATGAAGAGGGCATAAAGATTGACCCAGAATTAGTATTTAAAAAAACTAATGAAATTATGATTCCTTATTTTGAATGGTCTTTTAATTATGATTCTTGGAATTGTTGGACATTAAAATCTGGTTCAGTAGTTGTTTCAAGATAGCAAGGTTAAGTAATGAAGAGTATATCGAGATACAGAGCTTTACTAAACGCCCAAGTATACAAGTCCTCCAAAAGATATTATTGAACTTTTGAAAATAAAATCATTAAAATCTTTGGAACTTGAAATAATAAAGTTCAAAAGAGACAAATTAAAAGCTCATCTCCTGAAAGATATTACTAGCCAGAATTCTAGTGAAGAAGATCTTATTTTGGAAAATATTAAGATAACGTGTTCAATATTAGATCCTGAAGATCCATTCACTGCTTTTTTTCACGAAAGTTTTATCTTTATTCCATAAATATATTTTTATAGAAGATTCTGTTATGCAACAGCTAGATGTTTCAGAGGCTGATTACAGAGGTTATCTGATACATCTTTGCTTAAAAAAAATACTTGTCAGCTTAGAAGATCGTTTATATTATCATATGTAAGTAGCTTTTATTTGGGGTGATACTTGATGTTTGATGTTTGATAAATATTGTATACTGACATAGTTTTATTTAAGGGGAAAGTCATTTTATCATCAGTTAAATCTTGTAGAAGTCGACGAAAATGTACCAACTCTTATGAGCAAAAATCTAATGGTGTCTTTACCGTAAAATTAAGAAAATTATTAATGGAAGTAGGCCACTTAAAAATGAGTGGAGGATATGGGCATAAAGATATTCCTCGTTCTACTTGGGATGGATGTTGTAAGCTACCGATTGGTAACTCTTATATGTTGGAAGAAATTGGTAAGCAGTTTCGGGATGGTTCTCCTGAAACTTTTTCGAAGTTAAGAGTTTTTTCGTTATACACCTATGGAAAGTACTGTATATAGCGGGCCACAGTACCCTGGGTATCTTGCAAAAATCAGGGTTTGACCCTGTACCCCAGGTATTAAACAAAGCCTAAAAATTCCATTTTTTGCGAATATCTCACGATCTACTAGTCCAATTTGAACGATCTTTTTTTTATTTTGAAGAGCTCAATGAGAGCTATCAAACAAAGAAAGATGGCTCAAATCTGATCACTAGATAACGAGATAATTGTAAAATATCCCCTCGGGTATTATACAATTCTATGAAATTTTTCAAGGGAGGTACTATGCATAGGGGGTACTATGGCCTGCGATATACGGTATTTTTAAAAAAATTTTTTCTTATTTTTCAATAATTTTTTATTTAACTTCCTGCATTTTATAGAGGATCGTATTGAATTATGGCAAATGTATAACCCGTCCTGCGGTATTTTGCAATACGAACGATCATGTAAGTCAATTGTACCAATTTGTTATGAAGAACATTGTAAACATATTTTCGATTTCGTTGTCCTCCTTTGGGATCTCAAGATACAGTATGTTGTATATGGCTTATAATTATTTTGTAATACTTCGTCATTACCTTACCAGTCTCTTGTACACAGTGTGGATTATTGGAAACTTCTAACACAATATTTTAGCTGAGAGATGAACATAATGATAATTTGTTTGAATCATCAAAACTTTCTGAAAGTCTTCCAGCGTATCCATTTATACCAAATAAAGATAGATACAAAATCGGTATTAAAGACGCAAATGAAGATAGTAATCTTGATAATTCTCCAATTCGATCTGGCAGAAATGATAAAAAATATTTTGAATCGTGAATATTACTTGTACCATAATTTTATTAATTTAGTGAAAAAGATAATCATATATGATGTTGAAAAATACTTGTATTGAGCTTTTAGAGATATTTTATACATGTGTACAGTATGTGGGATGTGTATTGTATTTAACAATGTATATGCATGTAATTGACTACTCTTATCGTTAAATTTTAATAAGTCCTATCTCTTTAAAATGTTCCAGAATAACTACAGTATATGCGGATTTTTGTAATGCTATATACCAAGAACAATTTTCATCACAGAGTTCTCTCGCTCTTGAGCTGGTTACATATTAATCGTTTTTCAAGGTCTTCCTTATTTTTGTTCTCTATTATAGAGATGGGAAAGAATAAATGTACGGGAATTACTGAAATGGACGTGAGGATCAATCACCTGAGTTAATATCTGAAAAACACACATATTATATTTTTTTTTTCTAGCGCATACATTTACCAAGGTGTTTTGCATATACACGTAAGTGCCAGTGAAAAAAATTTTGGATGAGACATTACATAGGAGTATTCTGGTTGTGACTACACATTTCAATGAACGACTCAGGATCACAAGCTAATCGTATTTTTCATGTAATTCAGAAAAAGATGAATAATTTATACTTTCTTTTTTGGCTTTGAATTTATGAAGGCGCCCAGCAGGACCCCGCTTACTTCTAATAAAGGTCTCCGGGCAAAATTTCAGATTTACTAGTAATTTTACCAACCTTTCTTATCTCATAATTTTACCATATATATATAGTGACCTTTTAAAATTATATTAAATTTTACCTTAGATTTTCAGAGACCTAAATTTTTTTAAATATTAAATAAACAAAATATTTTATAATCATTACAATAAATTTTAAAAATTTTTTATTTTTACTAAGTTTAATTCTTATTCTTTAAAGATAAATAACTTTTATTAGTAAAAAAAGTACTTTGAATTACAAAAATACTATAAAAAAAATCTTAAAGACACACATCTTTAACTT